CCGCTGCCGGACACCAGCTTCTTCAGACCGATGATGGAAGCCAGCACCAGCGCCAATTTACTGACGATCAACGCCTTTCCAGCTAGAAGCGCCAACGCTCCCAGGGCTAAGGGCACCAGGGTACCTCCGATCAGCAGAGGAATAGCGAGCAGGCCGCTCATGTTCTTCTTCTTCTTGCGACCTAAACAGAGTCTCAGATGAATAATCTCGAAGAGTGGGCCACTCGGTCTACTGGACTAGGAAAACGGGATCGTTATTTCGGATGACTGCGCCGATTGGGCTCAGCCGAGAACGTCGACACAATTAGCGAAACCTCACCTTCCTCCACCAGACTGCGTTGCAGCTCCTCGACGTTCGGCAGCTTCAGCTTCAGCGTGTGACTCTGGAAGAACTTCACGATCTTGTCGTAGATCATGGTGTTCAACGCGTCCTCCTTGTCGTCCAGCGCTCGCGGGAGATTCGCTTCGATCTCCTGGAACGACTTGGGTGCCTCCGCATCAGAGACGGGGTCGTCCTGCACGAACGTGACCCCGTCCGCCACGTTCAACTGCGAACTTCGGGACACCCTGTCGATGGCCGACAGCAGTCTCACTTTCAGACAGGGACTAAGCTCCTCGTCCGCGCACTCCTTGTAGATCTGGTACATCTGCCGCAGGTCCCCGAACACGTTGCCGCTGACGGACCTCGCCTCCTCGTTAATGGAGTTGCTCGTCGGGTTGGTCTCGGCCGACCTTGCCGAGGCCATTGCCACCAGAGCCAGAAACGCGTAACAACGTCTCATCTTTCGGCAACCTAGAATCGTACGAATTTGTTATAAACACCCGGTCACACCGTCTATTGAAGTCAAGTTACCTAGAATCGCGCGATGCGGCCCTTCAATGGGTTTAATGGACAAATGACCACCACGACGCCGCGAGATGCGTGCGTACAAGAGAGCACTGAAACTGGACTGTCCGTAACGGAAGCCCTGCCCTAGCTCTATATATCTGGTCAGGTGTGCGTGGCTGGCGATATTCTCCCCACCGTCGCCGCCATTACGAACACCACCATTGTGGGAGCATTTTCATTGCCAAGGATCACTTTAGAGAGGATCTGGTTAACCACCTGGGAACGGAAGAGTAGAGAGCAGAATTCCTATGAACCAGGCCCTGGAATTCGTTCCCCCCTTCGGATGACAGGACCCCACCAGTCCTCGGACCGATTCCGACGTTTCGCTACTCTTGAGCGACGTCCTCGCCCTTGTCGCTCGACTCGCTCGATGCGACCGGTCTGACCACATCGAAGCTGCCGCTCGCCCACGTGCCGAGTCCTTTTGTGCGCCATTTTATCGATAACAGTGAAATCGAAAGGTATCGCGATTTGGAATTGGGCGGGATTGTGTACCGTTATCTATCCGTATCCCTCTTATCCTGCGGCACATCCTTGCTATTTTCGTCCTGGCCGATAGCGCGTATCTGGGTCACACCAAGTGAAAACACGTAGATACGTAGGCTCCACGTATGGGGGTCAGGGGAGATACGGTTCTCTTAATGTTCAGGTTCAGGAGCGCAGTGAAGCGTCGGAAGGCACCGAGGCAAGACAAAAATTTCGGTGGGGATCTGGCCCTGTTCCGCTTCTCAGCCGTCTTCTCTGACGCCGATGATTCGGCAAATTCGGGATCGAGGACACCCAAAAGTCCGAGAAATCGCGTACGCGCGAAAATGATCCTCTTAGCGAAAGCGCCACCGGGTTATCGATTTCCGGTTCAACGATGCTCATTTTCTGCATCGCGATTCCGGTTGATGAGCCCCCGTCACGAGTCACTCGTTCGTTATTGTTCGACGAGCATTATTATTCGCGGTATGCAGGTTACCGGTTTGAAGTTCACGGTATCCGGTTTCTCTGCAATCTATAATGACGGTGCTTCGCGAAAAAGACGCCGGCTTTTACGAGCCATTAAGTGACCGATCGACGTAGCTAGGTCAGTAGTGGCAATGTCGGAGTCATCAATTTGCCGGGGCATTAACCATTCAGAAACGTCATAATCGAAACGTTTCCTATAGGATATTCAAGTTTCACGACTTGTTTCTCGGCACGTTATAATTAACTCCGGCTACCGTTGACTTTCTACTTGTAACCAGCGAAAACCTTCGTGGTTTTACCTCGGTTATCTCGCTCGGCTATCGGATGCACCGACGCATACTTTCACTCGTTTTCATAGATATAGGTACTGTTGCGGGTACTTGTCGATCGATGGTTTTTTAGACGAGGGGATAATTGGAGGCTCTTGGGTAAGAAGGTATATTAGACTTCTTGATGTGTGATTAAGGACATAGTTCAAGACTAAGAGATATCTGAGGAGAATTTAAGGAAACCTGGAGGTGAAAACCTGAATAGGTATTTGAGACTATACTGAAAATACTTAAGGACAATGTGGGAGGATGTGGATCACATTGGATGGATGTGGACAATATGGACAATGAGGACAATGTGGACAATGTGGACAATGAGGATCACATTGGATGAATGTGGACAATGTGGACAATGAGGATCAGATTGAATGGATGTGGACAATGTGGACAATGAGGATCAGATTGGATGGATGTGGACAATATGGACAATGAGGACAATGTGGACAATGTGGACAATGAGGATCACATTGGATGGATGTGGACAATGTGCACAATGAGGATCACT